GTCCTGCTTACGATGTCAGAAGAAATTAGAACATGCGTCTAGTGGATCCGATATCGCAGGGGTCATAAAATCGTGTCGTACCGCATAGTTTACACGGTGCGTTTTGGACGTATGCGTCTGACTGATGCAACAGACGTACGTCTAGGACGCATCGTGTAAATAGGCCCTTAATTCTTCGAAGGTCATTCCAAACGAGTTACAGAAACACGCCACGTGTAAAATATAAATTACCATATATGTTGTAATAACTAACCACACATATAGTTAGCTATATAACTAACCATATGTAACATGTGTTTTACAAATGTTGCATGAATTAGTCAGCGGAGCTAGACTAGGGGTTGTTTTGGTGGTAGTCTATGTAGACAGAGCGTCGCGCATCTTGTGCGGCTAGAGAATGGTAAACGTGTTTTAGGTCGAGCGTTTCTAGGGTCATTTTGAAATGGGGGTAGGACGCGGTCTGGGAGAACGGGTGACATGTGCGCTCAGGATGTAGGGGTTTTGGGGGTAATATATAAGAGGTTAGGAGAGATTGAGAGGAGGGAGAGAGAGATGTAGGAGTGGGGGAGGCTGGTTGTGGTCGCGGGAAAAAGCGCACGCGCTTACGCGCGTGTGCGCGTTGCTTTGTCCCTGTGTGCAAGGAGATGTGACGTGAGCAGATATGAAAGTTTATGCAGTTCAAGACACAAGTTTGGATTTCTACTTCATCATTTCTACATGAACTCTTAATTCAACGTTACATTTTGGTGCCAGTGACAGTCAAAAACACACTGGGCTGTGTATTCCATCGATGCTGTATACGAGTGGTCATATGGATTTTTGTTCAAACTGTATTTTGGTGTATGAGTGTATTGGTGTTCAGTGAAAGAGATATTGTATTAGTATAGTAGGGGTACGAGCAATTTTGGGTAATGTTGGATTGTCTAATCGCGAGGATGAAAGACAGGTGTGTGTGTGTGTGTGTGTGTGTGTGTGTGTGTGTGTGTGTGTGTGTGTGTGT